AACTGCTTTGGAAGGTGGGCTGTATGGCATTCTGTTCAGCTGAGGCCTCTCCCCTCCCCAAACCCTGGCTTCCATCAACTCTACCAGAAAATCTCCAGGAATCTCCCTACCTGGAGCTGGCAACCCTAGTCAGGACCGGCCCCAATTTGTGCCATCTGTGTTATGTTGAGAAATGGACTAATATTTGTGTTTGTGGACTGATATCTGCTGATACATTATATAGATTGTGCACATACATGCCCTAGGCGCAGGGAAAGCGATTTGCAATCATCTGTTGTGAGAGGTCTTCACATAGAGAATGTTTGTTGCCTGCATTTCATGTTAATGAGGCTGTAGATACACAAAAGCCTGGCTTGAGGAAAGGAGCACATTTCACCATTGTTAGCAGAATTACAGTTTAAAAAGACAAGCAATATCCCATTGCTGAAGGACGCAATCCACGACCGGATCTACATCTGAATTGCCATTTCCTGGCAGATGTTACTTTGATTGCTTGGGAACGCCGATATCTATCTGCACATCAAGGAGAATCTCGAGACTTCACACCTGACCAGATGGCTTTCCATGAGTTAGACTTTAGAGTTTCAAATACTGGCCCAACCCCTAGGGTACCTGCCCCTTACTACATGCACCAATGATTGAGGTTATGGGGGGACGGACTACAGATAGGTGGGATCTCAGCTTGGAAAGGTTGCCACCAGCCCCAAAGATTTCACTATAAAAAGCAAGGACCATGCGTTGGGTCTTTGCTAGCCGCATTCCCTTTCATCATCCTCTGTCTTCTTTCATCCCCTAAAGCCCAGCTTACTATCGAACAACCCCTATTGTCTACTTTTGATCTCTTGGACTGCAGCCAAAGAGATCAACACTAGCTGGCTGGTTATAGCTGTGTGATTTAGCAAATACCCTAGGTACTAATTTCTTACCCTCCAATTCTTCAATGCAACAGACAAGACTTCAGGAAAGATAAGTATTAAACTGTAAACCTACCTACCTCTTAAGTAAATGGGACTATTTTATGTACTTCTATAATTCTAAAGGAACTTGATTGTATGTGTGTATGATTCTGTTTTTGGGTGTATGTGATTTTGATACTCTTCGGTAAACAACAAAAAACATACAACGGTGGAAAAAATTAAAGAGTTGCTCAGGTGCCTATACCCCCCAGCTGGTATTGGTTTGCTTGGGGTATTGTGGAGAAGGCAAACAGCAGTGTGTCTGGTGCAAGAAAAATAGATTTCAGCCCTGTATACATTTTTGTGCAGGGGAGGGGGGTTTGTCAGTGGGGAATGAAACTGACCAGAGATGTAAAGTGAGCGGGAAGCTACCATGGGAAGCCTGTAGCTTTTTGGACATTTCTCTTTGTAATGCGGAGTACTGTGCTACTCAATTCCTAGAAGAAAAATCAGAGAAAAAGAAATGCGCGGAGTGCACACACGGCATTCGAATTCAAGCCACACAGCTCTACTTCAGTGAAAATCAGCAATAAGCCGTGCATGCATAATAGGGCTAAGCAGGGCTATTTTTGGGCAGGAACGCACAGGAACGGAGTTCCGGCTGGCTTCAGAGTTAGCCACGCCCACTACAGCCAAACCCTCTGCGTGCGTGGCTACAGAGGGGAGGGAAGGCTTGGAGAGCAAACCCCCCCTCCAGCGACTCTGAGGCAGGCAGGCCGGGGGGGCCCTGGAAGGATCAGGGAGGCATTTAAATGCCTCTCCGTGTCTTCTCTGGCCTGTCCAAGGGCTGGCTTGCCCAGGCAAGCCAAAGGAAAGCATGGGGGTGGGGCCTAATATGCTAATAAGCTGTGCTGTCTGGGGTGTGGCCTAATATGCTAATGAGTTTCTACTGTTGGGTGTGGCCTATTATGCTAATGAGTTCCTGCTGGGCTTTTTCTACCAAAAAAGCCCTGGGGCTAAGTTTCAACTTCACAGATCTGAGAAGTGACATTACCTGCTGAACATCTTGCTGGAAAACACACAGTTGAAGCCTCTGATGTAACCGGACCTTCCGATGCTGCCAGATGCTCTCCAAACGACGCTGGTGATGCAAGACTTCATGGACCACATCCAAAACCTGGTGAACAGCCTTGGAATAATTGGCTGTGGCAGTGAGAGACTCAGAGTTCCCAGGGCTCAAGGGACGCTGCAGGACATCCAGTAAAGCCTTTCCATCCTGGCTCACCTTCAAGGTTAAAAACAGAGGGAGAGTGTCCATCAAGCATGGATAATATTAAATTACCAAGATGATTTTGCTTTATGCATCAAGGAGGGGGGGAAATCACACATCATGGAAACGGGGAGAGACTGTGTCTCAGTAGCTGAACATCTGCTTTGCATGCAGGAGGTCCCAGGGCACAGTCCTTGGCATCTCCAGTCAGAAGTATAGGGTAAGAAATTACATGAAAGCCCTCTACCTGCAGAGCTGCCACCACTCAGAGAAGGCAACAGACTCAGTATAAAGCAGCTTCATGTATTTAAAACAGTTTCGCAGAGAGCCAGTTTGGTGTAGTGGTTAAGTGCATGGACTCTAATCTGGGAGAACCGGGTTTGATTCCCCACTCCTCCACTTGCACCTGGCTGGATGACCTTGGGCAAGCTGTAGTTCTGATAAGAGCTGTTCTTGAAAAAGAGCAGTTTCTGTCAAGAGCTCTCTCGGCCCCACTTACTACCTCACAGGGTGTCTGTTGTGGGGAGGGGAAGGGGAAGGAGTTTGTAAGCCGCTCAGAGACACCTTTGGGTAGTGAAGGGTGGGGTATAAATCCAATCTCTTCTTCTCTTCTTCTTCTTCGGTGTCCCTGTAAGATCTGGCAGACTTTGCAAACCCAGAAGGTAACTGGATGTTTTATTCCCAAATTTCAGATGTGTCATTTAGGAAGTTCAATCTCATTATAAGAAATGGGAGGAAAAATGCTTTTTCTTTTCTTGTGAAAGAGTTCTAACATGTAATATTGACAAGCAGTACGTGTGAAAGAATGGAACGACCCTTATTGTATTCATGTGTTAAAAAGCAGACAAGTATACTTGGAAATAAAATTCAACCCCTTTATAAGAACATGCCTGCTACTTAGGACCTCACTAAGTACTTTGGTACACACAGCATGTACTACTTCTTCTTCCTCCCGCCCCGCGCCCCGTCACTTCCGGGTGATGCGTGCGCGGCGCGCGCGCGCAAAGCGCGCGCGCACACACACTCTGGCCTCCTCACTTTCCCCAGGGCCCCCCCACAAGGAAGGGGTTAGCTACGGCCCTGCACACAGCATGTACTACTGGTCTTTAAAATCAAAACTGGAAACCACATTTGGTTTAATGGCTTTTCTTTGGTTCAAGGGAAAAAAACTGTTCTGATAACACTGTGGTTACAGATATTTCAAACACACACACAAAATATACTTTTATCTGGGTCCTTTAAAGTCTCTATCAAAGATTGAATGGGTTTTGAAACAAATCAATTGTTTAAAAATAAGCCCTAGCTGCCATTTCAACTCTCTAGTGTTCCCTTTAGGAATTAAACAAGGTCTCTTTTATGTGAAAGGCTTTGCATTTTTCAAGGAGTGTTCAAGGTCAGACTGTACTAATATAGCAGCTTTGCAGTATATTCAAGTACATTACGAAAAGCTCTGAAAGAAAAGAGGTAGGTGTGTGTGAAGGGAGAACCTGTGCATTTCTATGCATCTCTTCTCGATGGGGAGTCAAACCCAGCTGCTAATAAATAGGGGGTAGGGTAAGCAAAAACGGTACCAGAGCAAAGTGAAAATGATCCACAGCAAACAAAAAGCTGCAAGAACAGTCTCTTACAGTGCAATCCTAAACAGAGTTATACCCTCATAAGCCCAGTGACTTCAATGGATTTAGGAAGGGTATAACCGCTTTGGACTGTACTGTTATTTGCTTGAACAACTATCTAAGCTTGACATGGAGACATATGGAAGACTGCATATACACTCTGGCCTGTCTATTGCATTTGCATCCCGCTTACCCTCCAAGATGCTCGGGTTGCCAACCATCAAATCCATCCTGGAGATATCCCAGAATTGCAACTGATCCCTAGGCTACAGGGATCAGTTCTCCTGGAGAAAAATGGCTGCTCTGGAAGGTGAACTCTTTGGCATTATATCCCTATGAAGTCCCGCCCTCCCTGGGCTCCACCCCCAAATCTCCAGGAATTCCCCAGCCTAGAGTTGGCTACCCTGTTGGATGCCTGGCTTATCCTGTTCTCTATTTTACCTTCACAACAACCCTGTGAGACAGGTTAGGGTGCAAGACAGACAGAAAGACAGTGTGGATATATGACATGCCCAGGGGTCATTTCGTAGAAAAAGAGGAGCAGGAGCTCATTAGCATAACTAATTAGCATGACTTATTTGCATATGTCACACCCCCTGACATTACCGGAAGTGTGTCAGAAGGCAACATCCACCACTCAGGCTCCACTGGACTGTTTTGGATTGCTAGCTATTGGGGGGGGGGGAGAACGTGCAGATCTGTCCTCGCAGAGGAGGGAGAGCTTGTATCTGAATAAAACTTGGTCTTAAAGGTGCCACTGGACTGTGGGGGGGGGGGCTCTGTGACTTACCTGGCTGCTTCTTGCTCTGACTGAGGGCTGCTGGGAGCAGGGGGTGGGGCTTGTTGCATGTGCCCGCCCCCTGGGCTCTTTACTGCTGGAGTTCCGCTCCTGTGCGCTCCTGCAGGAAATGACCCCTGGATATGCCCAAGGTCATGCACTGGTGACTGGTGAGGATGGGGGGATAGGGTTACCAGATCCAGGTTGGGAAACTCTTGGGATTTGGGGATGGAGATTGGGGAGGATGGGGACCCCAGTGGGTACAATGCCACCCTCTAAAGCAGCCATTTTATCCAGCAGAACTGATCCCTGTAGTCTGAAGATGAACTGTAATTCCAGGGGGTCTCCAGGTTCCACCTGGAGGCTGGCATCCCTATCACCCACTGAGCTCCATAGCTGCATGGGAATTTGAACCTGAGCCTCCACAGTCCTAGCCCAACCCTCTAACCATTACATCGCACACTGGCTAAACCAGCTTCCTCTTCCGTTCCCTTTTCCAGTTTCAGTTCTGGATCCGCTGGGTAGTGATGCAAAAAAGTTCAGTCTCAGTCTAATGTCCGCCAGCTGCCAGGTCAAAAAAACACATCAGGAAGACACAGAAGCAGTAGATAAGAGCTGTACAAAAGCCTGTGTTGCTCATTTCTTCTTTCAGTGTTTCTTTTGGAGCAGCCCTACACAGAGCGAGTTACAGTAATCAAGTCTAGAGGTAACTGTTGCATGGATTACTGTGGCTAGGTTGGGGCAAGACAGGTAGGGAACAAGTTGCCTGGCCTGAGACAGTTGGATAAACACCAGCCTGGCAACGTTTGTGACCTGGGTTTCCATTGATAAGGAAGCATCCAGGACCACACCCAGACTCTTGGCTGTCTGCACCAGTGTTAAAGGTCAAGAGTCAGGAGTTAGCACCCCAAACCTGAATCGACAAGACAGGTAGGGAACAAGTTGCCTGGCTTGAGACAGTTGGATAAACACCAGCCTGGCAACGTTTGTGACCTGGGTTTCCACTGATAAGGAGGCGTCCAGGACCACACCCAGACTCTTGGCTCTCTGCACCAGTGTTAAAGGTCAGGAGTTAGCACCCCAAACCTGAATCTCCCCTACCCAGCCAGACAGCCTCCATCTTTAACAGATTCAGTCTCAGCTGACTCTGCTTCAACCACCTCACCATGGCCTCCAGATCCTCAGCCACGTTTCCTGGTGTGGTGTCCATCTGTCCATACATCAGCAGATACAGCTAGGTGTCATCAGTGTACTGATGGCAACCCAGCCCAAAACGCCACACCAGCTGGGTGAGAAGGTGCACGTAGATGTTAAACAACATCTACAACAACAGCCACCTCACCATGGCCTCCAGATCCTCAGCCAAGTTTCCTGGCGTGGTGTCCATCCGTCCATACATCAGCAGATACAGATAGGTGTCATCAGCCCCAAACGCCACACCAGCTGGGTGAGAGGGTGGACGTAGATGTTAAACAACATCTACAACAAGATGTTGTTAAACAACAAGATGTTAACCTTATGCAGTTCCGCAGGGCCTGTAAGACGAAGCTCTTCCGCCAGGCTTTCACATAAAAATGTGTGAGCCAGAGGCTAAAAAACTGAGCTAGCTCACACTAACTCAGCTTAGAGGGAACAATGACCACCACTCCCACCGCCACCAATGAAGTGGATAACATAGGGGTTAAGGATGGCCCGGGAAGATCTACCACAATTTCTGCATGACCGATACCACTGGATTTACCTGGTTGAGCTATAGGATAACATCATCCTTGGGGAACTGTCTGTTTACCATCTGGCATGTACAGAGGTCATTTCGGGGGGAATGCGGGGGAACGCAGTTCCCCCGGGTGAGGTGCGGGGGGGTGGGGCACATGATGAAGCCCCGCCCCCTGCTTCCAGCTGCCCCGCTTCCAGCCCTCATTCAGCCAGGAGGAGGCAGGAGAAGAGGGAGGGTAAGTTGCTTCCTACTTGTCTCTCCCCACCCCTGCCTGCCTGGGGCCAGGGAGGGCCTTGGCGGGGCTTCCTCGCACTCCCGCTGGCCTTGCAGGTCCACCGCCGGGCCCCTGATGTCAGGGGGTGTGGCATATGCTAATGAGTTATGCTAATGAGTTCCCCTAGCTCTTTTTCTACGAAATGACCCCTGGGCATGTATCCGGAGACCATCTTGTTAAATTGAGTACAATTGTTATTAATTGTTATTAATGTTTTTATTGTTTTATCTGTTTTATATGGGCTTTGCCCCTTGTAAGCCGCCCTGAGCCCGCTCTGCGGGGAGGGC